TGTAAATAAATTTCAGGATTCCAGAAGTTTTAAGAGTTGAATGTTTTTCAAGGTTCCCACTCTTTTTAACCAGTGAATTTATGTAGAAAAAAGATTTTTTTTTTTTTTGCCCAATGGTGATTAAGTTATTTGAACATTTTGTCATCCATCACCCTTAACATTTGTAAGTGGCCAGTCTTGGGATTTGCGGAAAACGTTCCTGGAACCCTTGGATCATCTCTGGTCTCTTAGAGATAACCAGGTACAGAGTGCTTTGCATCTCTCTTTCTATCTCTCTCAGTCCTCAGTCTGTCTCTGAAGATTTAAAGAAGTTCAATCTTATGCTGTTTTCTGTACAGTTTCGGTTTGTTGAGTGACTCTTCTCCTCTACTACCTGCTCCGCTCCCCCTTCTATGACCGATACTCTGAGTCAGTGTCTCCTTCATTGCATCTGTTGCATTAGTGTAGTCTTCTCATGTGATGCACTTCTGGTATTGTTGTTTTTTTTTTTTTTCAAATCCTTAAGTTTAAAATAATTCACCCAAAACTGAAAATTTGCTAAAAATTTACTCACTCTCAGGCCATCTAAGATGTAGATGAGTTTGTTTCTTCATCAGAAGAGATTTGGAAAATCACTTGCTCACCAATGGATCCTCTGCAGTGAATGGGTGCCATCAGAATGAGAGTCCAAACAGCTGATAAATCATCACACTAATCCACATGAGTCCATCGATTAATGACTTGTGAACTAAAAAGCTGCATGTCAGTAAGATCTTTAAACCATTGTTTCTGGGCAAAATGTGAGTCATAATATTTGCTCTCTCCAGTGAAAAAGTTATCTAGTCTGAATCAGGAGAGAAATACACACAGATCAAGCGGTGTTTACAAGTGAAAACAGTCCAGAACAGTTCTAAACAAATATGTTGTTGGATTTTGATGTGAGAGGACAACATGGAATGGACCTTTTCATTGGAGAAAGCGCTATTATGGATTACAGACTGGTATTTTTTTGGCAGAAGCGACTGTTTAAAGTTAAAATGCCTTATTCTGTTTTTTTTTATTACAAACACACAGCTTTTCTCTTCACAAGGTGTTAATTGGTGGACTGGAGTGGTGTGGATTATTTGTGAATTATTGTGATGTTTTTATCAGCTGTGTGGACTCTCATTCTGACGGCACCCATTCACTGCAGAGCATCCATTGGTGAGCAAGTGATGCAATGCTAAATTTCTCCAAATCTGTTCCAACACAGAAACAATCTCAACTTGTCAGAGTTCAAATTTACAATAAAATTAGTCAAATAAAATCCAATATAGGCATAGCAACCAATCAGAACACCTTACCAACTCCTGGCATCGCACAGCTACACTATATTTTCTCCAGAAAATATACAAATTTAGTTTTACAAAATATCTATTTAGATTTAACAATGCACACTTTTACTGCATAATGGTGCTTTTTGTTCCCATATCTAATGTCTCTTTTATACCCGCAGGACAAAGATCCTCTTCCTTCTTCACTTCTTGGCAGATTATGTTCCCGGAGTCGGTTTGGTTGCGCGTAAGTGCCGTATCCATCTCAAACAACGGATGTTCAATGCTGTCACACTAAAAGCTTTAAAAAAGCTCTGAGATGCGTCCTGACTGGATTTTTCCTGTACTCTCAGGTCCGCTGATGGAGTACTTGCCCATTTGGCAGAAGATCTACTTTTATAACTGGGGCTGACGTCAAAGTGAATCTTTCACAGGTCAGCGCCGCCAAAATGTTAGTAGAATGAGAGGAAGCCATTTAGAGGATGCGACAGCGACACACAAGGACTCAAATCACACCTGTGCCAGAACATTACCACATTTATTGAGGAGTTTTGCAGTCAAGGAGTTACAGGTACACTGCTGGCGTATGAGAATATATATCTGGATAATGATTTTCCGAATGCTGTTTTGTTTATCTTTTAGCTTTCACAATTTTATGCATCTGAGCCTTTTTCTTACACTTTTTTTTTTTTTTTTGCAATTATAAACTCTCACCCACAAGCTCTCCTATCCCATAATCTATTCCTCAGCACGAATGCCTTCCTTTTAATTTAGATGTTTATTTCCAAGGAGGATAGTTTTATTGAACACAATAATTGACTGGCTGAAATTAAGTCAATTAGACAGATGTTTCTTTTTTTGTTTGTTCTGTTTTGTCAAGTTTTGTGCCATAGATGAGATGAAGCTGAATGTGATGCTTTTAATTGCAGCATTATGAACGCGTTTTTTCACTGTGTGAAATAAACTCATTCGAGTCTCTGTTTTAAAACCCATCGTTAATTTGATTGAAAGACCTGAAGCAAAAATGAAAAGCATGACTGTTTTGAAATGCTGAAAGTGTGAAATTGGATAATTGGTTTTGTATATACTTCTATGCATTTAATAAATCTTTAAATAATAAGAGTCCTCATGTCTCAAGTGTTTTCCATCAGAGAGCAGAATTTATAATGCTGTTAAGAGCTGCTCGTACACACATGAGCCATAACTCGAGGTCTGATCTCACAATGTTTTTGTTCAGCTTTTCAAACTAATGTTTGAATTAAACATAAATGTGATGTATGTCCTCCAGATTCAGAGTCCCAGCAACCCCCTCGCTGTGCTGTAGTGTATATGCTCATGAAAAATCCCTGAACTACAGTATCAGCAAGGCTGAAGATGATAAACTGCTTCCTTAAGGAAGGCAAAAAAAAATGTCCTCATGGACCTCAGAGTTAGGAATAGCCAAGCTATCCGTTATACATCCCTGTGGGGTTAAAAGATATCTCTCTTGAATTGTGCCCCAGATATTCACTAGCTCCCCATGGCAATCCATCTATCACTTTTGCTCTTTTCATTTCAGGCCGAGTTCACATATTGTGGGATCCACCAGTGGCTTTGTAAGATTACACATAACATAGTCATGTAATCGGTCTAACCATGACATAATGCAATTAGTTTAATAAATTCAAAAGCCTTTTCACCACTAGCAAATTACCTCCCATGTTGGGAAGGGATCAATATCTAGATCAGTTTAAAAACAATTAAACCTTTATAGAGTTCGTTAATCACGCCTAGAATTGATTTCCTGATCAAATGCATTTGCTTTTGTGGTGTTTTTTTTATTATTTTATTGACACAAATGAATACATGTAAAGTAACACATAGGCTTTGTCCGGTGTATATTATAGATACATTGCTGAATGGGTCAGAACAAAAATATCAGAAATCTATAATACAGTAGATCGCATAGTTCAATCCTTCAAATCAGGCTATTACATTCAGGGCATTTTGGGGTTGAAGGCAAAAAGATATACAATGAATATCTATCTGTCTGTCTGTCTGTGTATCATCATGTATATCTATCTAGAAAATGAAATATGATATATGAAAATAATCCGTGTATCATTCGATCATTCATTTTTTCATTTAATATTGAAAATAGAAAAATGAGAAAATGGCTCCTTTTTCGTTTTTTTGTTTTTTTTCAAAAAAACGAAAAACGAGAATTCAGCTTAAATTTACGTTTTTCGTTCATGGGTGGAAAAATGAATAAACAGCTTGAATATTCGATTTCTACATGTGGGCGGGAATTAAACGCCCCTTTCTGCTGATTGGTCAGCCGAAGATCAAACCGTGCCGTCATCAGTTCTTCTGCAGTATCACGCCGCAAAATAATAGTCCTCCACTGCTGCAGTTGTATGGATTAATAACCCATTTTATCAATTTCAAATTTTTCATCAAACAAACAGACTAATGAATAGCTCGACACAACTCGTACAGCGGCAGAGTCTAGACAGGTCTTTCTTCTGTGTAGACCAGCGGTTCTTAAAGTGATAGGGGGACCGAGAAATAATTTGCTATAGCCTAAAGTATTTCCAGACTGTAAAGTCGTTTTTTTTTATCATGATACATAGGCCTACTGTGATTTATTCCAAAGTGACTTATATGATGCATTTAACGTCAAATAATCTAAATGAAGCCTTTTAAAAGACAAGTATTCCCTGTGGTTCATGTTTGCGGCATGCGCCAGTAAGATGCTCAAGGAGCTAAAGCAGCGCATTCTGTTGTTCTCTTTATTTTTCAAAGGCATGACATTTTGTAGTTATTTTGAACGTAACGTTACACAATTTAAAATATACATTTTACCATACAACTATAAATATTAAGTTAGTATTAAGTTATTTCCCCTCGATGTGGGTAGGCTATGACAGCTGTCATATCATACCCTGCCATGCCCAGCTGATGCAAAGAATATAGTTTATATCTACACAGAAGAAAGCCCTGTCTAGACTCTGCCGCTTTACGAGTTGTGTCGAGCTATTAATTTGACTGTTTGTTTGATGAAAAAAAAGATTAAATGTAGTTGCAATAAATGCGTTAAGAATCCATACAACTGCAGCAGTGGAGGACTATTATTCTGCTGCGTGATACTGCAGAAGAACTGATGACGGCACGGTTTGATCTTCGGCTGACCAATCAGCAGAAAGGGGCGTTTAATTCCCGCCCACATGTAGAAATCAAATATTCAAGCTGTTTATTTATTTTTCCACCCATGAACGAAAAACGAAAATTTAAGCTGAATTCTCGTTTCTCGTTTTTTGGAGCCATTTTCTACTTTTTCTACTTTCAATATTAAATCAAAAAACGAATGATCGAATGATACACGGATTGAAAATGGTTCATAATTTTAATTTCCAGTTCCCATGTCACAAATTCTTACCCTTGTTCTTTTTAATACAAGAATTGAAATGGAAACATTTTTAACTCTCTTAAAAGTAGCCTATTTGGCTTCTTACACTTCAAACTATGAACATACGTATAATGTTAACATTACTATTATTATGCTGCACTTGTATGTCCTTTAGAAAAGCAAATATAATTTAGGCTTTATTAATGGTTTGTTTTATTAGTTTTAATGTTAGTTTTTGGTGGTTGTGAGTTGAAATGTTTGGTAAAGCAGCCATGTAAAACTCGAGTTGTGGGCGGAGCCAGAGATATTAAACTTTAGATATTAAGCAGGGCTGTTTTCTCTGTAACAGTACGCGAGTGCACGAGCTCTAATGTCACAGTAAGTACATTACATGCGTCATTGTGTCACCTTTTTTACTTTTCATATTAAATTCAGGCTTTGAAACAGGAGCAAGCGATTACGGATTGGTAAATTAAGATGAAAATGTCTCTGAGTGCTTGCGTCGTTGTTGCGCTATTTCAAGTAACTTTGTATCGACGTTAGCGGGGCAAAACGTTTTTAGGGTAGATTTATTTTTGTTATGATTTTTACGGTTTAGTACACATATAGGCTATATATGCTGTGCTTAAAGGAGTTCTTCGAGTCTAAATCTGTTGTTGAAATCAGTTCCTCCTCAGACAAGTTTTTACACGTTAATATTGTGTTTCTTCTGTTGCCTTATTTAGTGGAATTTGTTCATTTGTGAGGTAATATTTCAAATTTCAAACTCATAGAGAAATGAAACCGGGAAAGTGTGGCTTCTCGGTGGGTCATTTTGTGGTTTCCGCTGATTATTCGCTTAGTCCTGCGACCACACACTTCATGCTGTGAATTACACATACACCAACACAAACCACACACTGTAAATCCCGTATCTAAGGCATTATAATGCTTTATAGTTATGGTAACCACAGGCTTGCACGACACATTATAATACATTACATATTCACAGTACTATTGTTATGCATATACTGCACGACAATATGCACACTAATAACTACTGATTGAGTATAGTGCATTAAAACAGATCACCATTACTTTTCATGAGTTATTGTGTGTGTTAGGATACATTACGGACTGACGCTCTACAGGTGCAATCATGAATATAAGATTATTGTCATCATACACAACTTATGTATTTTGTACATTATAAGGCGATTACAGTTATTTATGAAAATATATGAATTGCATTGTGTATGTATTGCACAATATATAGATTGCAATGTGTATTATAACGCATTATGATTATCTTTAGAATGCGCTATAAATACAGTCTTCACAGAAAATGTTTGCATTATTTTCCTCCCCAAGATCACTTTCTAGCCATGAAGAAAATGCAGTTACATTTTATTTTAAGGTGTCCTTGTAACAGTGTAATTACAAAAATAAGTACTGAGCATTATTAATGAACAACTTGTACTTACTATTAATATATTTTTGAATGTTTTTGAAATAAATCCATTATACACACCAAAGCTGTTTTTATTTGATTAAAAAAAAAGTTTAATTTTCAGCAGAAGTTTTGAATGTCACAAGATCCTTTATAAATCATTCCAGTTTATTAAAATAGAAAAAAGTTATTTTCAATTGAACAATTTCTAAATATTTATTTTATTATTGTGGTTTTGATCTAATAAATTCAGCCTTGATCAAGAGACTTCTTGCAAAAACTGAAATAAAGAACTGAAATTTCAGCTAGCAACTAGCTGAAATAAAATAAGTTCATGTTTTATTATATTTAATTTATTTCCGTTAAAGTTTAGTTTAACTATAATAACCCTGAACATTAGGGGATGTCTGAATTTAAAAAAAAAATGCTTTTTTTCTCCTCTCTAATTTATGTTTTATTACAAATTATATTATCGGGATAACAATTTAAATTGAATTGGGCCATCTGTACAAATTAGTTCACATAATTAATGTTGCAAATTTACTTATTTTATTAGTGATCTTGATTAGTTCATAATCTGAAATAATAATTCATAATCTGTTTTATTTTTCACATCATTCTCACAGAATTTTTTCTAAATCCTTTGTGCTTAGTTCCATGTTTAATGGAAAACAATCTCAATGTGGTTTCATACATTTGGGCCTCTCTATATATAGTAAAAAGAATATTGACCCAAAAAATATGGCAGTTGTGGAAAAAAATCTCAGAAATGCAATTTGTTCTTTCTGGATGAACAGGGAATTGACTTGCACTTGTATTTTCTCTCTCTCTCTCTCTCTCTCTCTCTCACAGAAGATAAAAAATGAGGGAGGATGTATATGAGGTCCCCGAGGGGACGGAGTATCGTTATCTAGTGCAGGACGAAGAAGAGGAACAGATACAGTACATCCGTTGCCTCTATGTCAGTCCATTCCTGGTGGTGTCGCGCCGGTGCATGTTCCTCATCAGCTGCGGCGTGATCGCTCTCCTCTCTCGCGCGGGATGTCTGGCCTACGTGGCTGAGACTCCGCCTCCAGGAGTGGCAGAGGTGGAGACCGAGTGTGGTTGGCTGCGTGGGAGCTGGAAAGGTGGAGCTTATTCTTTCAAAGGCATTCCATATGCAGTACCACCTGTGGGTGAACGTCGCTGGCGACCCCCGGCGGAAATAGTGGAGGCGGGACAGTGTTGGCAGGGCGTGTACGACGCTACTCGATTCCGTAGCATCTGTGCGCAGGTGCAGCCCCTCCGAAAAGACGGGCAGGTCATGGGACAGGAGGACTGTCTGCATCTCAACGTGTGGACGCCGAGTCTACAGCCCGCCAAACCACTGCCCGTCATGGTGTGGATCCACGGAGGGTACCTCCACATGCTGAGCGGCCAGGAGAGAGGATACTCGCCCACCGTAGAGCTGGCGGCCCGTACGCAGATGGTGTACGTCAGCCTGAATTACAGGCTCAATGCTTTCGGCTTCATGACCCTGGAGGTGCTCAGGGAAGGTTCTCCCACCAACTCCTCAGGTAAGACCCGTACCTGTCCAGTTCACTCAGGCCTGCTGTCCATCTCATGAGCTCTCTGCTTGTCACTACAGCATATTGAAATTCATAAAACATCACTGCATGTGCACTGTTCTGAACAGTAGTTCACTTACTGGCGTCTTTCTGTTTGCTGTCAAAGGGAATTATGGCTTCATGGACCAGATCCAAGCACTTCAGTGGGTCCAGAGAAATATCCATAACTTCGGTGGTGATGCTGGAAGGGTTACCATATTTGGTCAAAGCTCAGGTACAACATACAGTGACATCGAAAAGTATTTGAACACTCGACATGTCTAATTGTCAATGCATAAGTCAGGGTTTTTTAACCTTTTATGCCAAGAACCGCCAAAATATGATCCCCTGTACACTTTACTATACTTATTGAGAATGTGATGTTATAAGGACAACATGTTTCTAATATTATATACATTTGTAACATATTTTATATATTATATTACGTACTTGTTTTGTTTTTAAAATGTTATATTTTCATTTTAAAATATCTGGAAAATATTTACTTTGTAATAAGTTAGACATTTAAAATTTACTTTGTAATTGGACAGTACATATTATATAAAATCATATTTATTTCTAACTGTTAAGCGTACTGTCAATATAATACAACAAAATAATTATGATCTAGTCTCAATCCTGACCATAAAGATTCATTAAATGTGTTAAAAACTGCAAAAATGCTAAACAAATTTAATTAAATCTTAAGTTGATGTTGGTGGGTGATACGACCAAAATCTTGTATCACAATATAGTTATTTTTTCTGGAAATATGTTTTTTACATTGCCAAAATTCACCAATTTCGATATCACGGCAAAAACTAATACTAGCCATAAGTAAAAAGTTCTCAAGCTTACTGAATACAAGTTAACAAATCATTGAGAAGCAAAGATGCAAATGAAATAAACTGTGCTAAATAAAAAAAAAACACTGCAAAGTCTTCACTGTATGAATTCAATACACAATTGTTCATATTAAAGCTACAAAAAAAGTTATTCAGTCAAGAACAGTGAGCTGTTTGATTTACATTAATGGCACAGACAGCAGTAGGTATATTATGCTGCTGTCACTTTAAGACCTAATGCACAGATACAATATACTGACATATATCTGATTTTCTTAACTGGTTACATTCACCTAAGACATAACCGACTTTTTACCTAAATACTCACCAAGACAGGCAATTTGACATATTTTGTGTTTTTTTGGCCATTTACATGCAGAGCCACAGAAATGACATATGAGAGAAAACATAAAAGATATCATGGCCATGGATTAAGAATTTGTTCCCATGATTTATGAAGACATTCCTTTGCAAGGCAACGTGACTGGGTTGCTTTAATGTTGTCAAAAAAGAAGCAAATAGTGGAGAATAAACAAAGTACTACAATGTATTTGTTATGCAGGTGTGTGAATATTGATATTGTAAATATTAATTTAGAGTACACACCCGTCTCTGCAAACATTTGCTAAACGTGTTTTATAATCACATATGCCATAAATGCTATGCTATGCATAAAGGGTGAATACTGTAACCTGTTTATATGGCCGGCAAAATAAATTTGCACTGCTAATGTTTGCATCTGAAACCTTCCCTTGTGAAAAAGAAATACACTTTATATACTTAAGAAAGAGTACTTTTTATGGAAATAATATATTTGTGTGAACTATGTAAGTTTGAAATATCTTAAGAATTTATGTAAGTGTGAACTGGATGTGAGGTTTTTGGACATGTTATTAACAAATAAAAAAATATTATAGTTAAAATGTATATTAAATGCAATTAGTTGAACTTAAGAGTACTATTTTTGACCCATTTAAGTAGGACTTAAGTACATCTTTATATGTAATTTCATAATTGCGTCTATTGTCTTTGAAATATGGTTAAAGTGTACTGCTCAATGTACTGACAAGCATATAACTTATTTATGGTAAACATAAAATATACTTTTAATGACATTTGCACTGAAACTTGTCATGTATTTAAATATATTTGTAAATACACATTTATAATGATGTTGCACACAGGACATTTAAATTATATACTTGTATTATGTAAATGTATTATCACTACAGTTATATTATAATGAAGTTTCAGTTAAATTATAATGAAGTACATGTGCTCGAGTATGTTAGTAAGCACATCAAAATAAATGTACTTTTAAATTTAAAAGATTTTTTAAACATGATTTTAAATGATTTAAAAAAAAAATCAACTTTCAATTTGACATTATCACAAAGTGCACTTTTTAAAAGTGTACTTAAGTGTGTTAAGAAACATTGTCATGAAAGTGTACTCTCTTTAAGTACACTTAAGCCTTGTTCAGACTGTCAGCCCGAATCCGATTTTTGTGCATATCCGAATGGAATCCAGTCATATTTCACTAGTGTGAACGGCAAAAAATCACATGAAATCCAATTTTTGCAAATTTGTTTCGAGCTACATTCATATGTGGTTTGAAATCCTATTCAAATCGTATTTCTGGAAATCCGTTTTAGTCTGACCGGTCAGATCGGATTTTGCATAACTTCTTTGCCTTATGTCACTTTCGCACGCCACGTAAAACGTAAACATATCAGACCTTGTTTGTTAAAAACATGCTGAATGTCTTTGCAGAAACAAGGTTGTGTTGTTGTGAAGTGCAAGTCAAGTGGAAAATGACAATATAGAGCTGGTCTATGCACCTCTTTGAGTTTAGAGACCGGCGGAGGTGGCAACACGGAATAAATCTGCACACTCCAGCTTCCTACCTTTCTGCCACCGCCTCATAAGACATAATTCAATCCAGCATGACGGCAACATGTTGTCATATTGTAAGACAACTTCTGTATTGCAAACTGTATTGCTGTTATTGTTGTTTTTAGTGTAGACATACCAATGCAATGTCATTGCCAAAGAAACCAATGTAGATATTGAGTAAAACGAAAGAGCGCCACGGGACACACAAATCGAATCTGAACAGTTGTGATACACAGTGCAGACAGTGAAACATTTAGATCAGATTCCAGTCAGATACACAAATAATCAGATTTGGGCTGACAGTCTGAACAAGGCTTTAGTTTTCATTAATGTAGGTTTCCTTTATTTCATTAATATCATAATATATTATCTGGATGTACTACAAGTGCACATTCAATATAATTAAGCACACTTATTTTTCACAAACGTGAGCCTTATTAATGTATATTAAGTTTTTCTCTCCTTGTGTGATCATAAGGAGGAACTTCGGTTTGGACCTTGATGATGTCTCCACTAGCCAAGGGACTCTTTCATCGCGCGATTGACATGAGTGGCTCGTATGTGTATAATGCTTCCCTGGAGTCAGCAGAAAAAGACAACTTAGAATTCCTGAGGAGAACTGGCTGCAAGAACGCCATCTGCCTGAGAGGACTACATATCGCTCAAGTTCTTCAGGTGAGAAATTTATGGCCGAGTTTGTAACCTTCCAGGGCAAGGCAGCAGCAGAGTCATGGCTGACTAACAACAGCCTCAACCTATTGGCCCTTTCGTCCGTAAACTCTCTTCGATAAATCATCAAACCTCGACCGCCTGCCAGATCTCAGTGAACGCTCATGAATTCCCAATGAAAATCTGCCGATGAGGTTTAATTTCTCTAAATGGTAGTAATATATCAGAACAGCCTCAACCTATTGGCCCTTTCGTCCGTAAACTCTCTTCGATAAATCATCAAACCTCGACCGCCTGCCAGATCTCAGTGAACGCTCATGAATTCCCAATGAAAATCTGCCGATGAGGTTTAATTTCTCTAAATGTTAGTAATACATCAGAAATGGGTCTGTGGTTGAATTAATGTCAGTGATTTGTATCTGACTCAGGCAATCCCGTGGCAGCAGTACCCAGCATGGGCAGCCGATGAATTAACCGATCTTCCAGTCAAAGGTGTTTTTCTTGGCCCGGTTGCAGTAGTTGACAACTATGTTCTCAAAGCTCCTCCGTTCAAAACCTGGGAGAAGGGTGGAGCTGGAGCCTATAATGACATCCCATTTATGGTTGGAACAACTGAACAGGAGACTGATTTTAGGTAACCAGCTTTGTTCGATTTTCAATTATCAGTTTTAAAATGAAAAAAAAAAAACTGTCAGGATTGTGCACCATTCAAAATTGAGAATGTCTTTAAAGTTCAGGAATTTGAATTGAGTTAGCAAGCTGGATGCAGAGTTATAATTTGGATTTGAATTTAACGAATGAACTTCAAAGAAATATACTCTCTTTTAAATGTTATCATATTAAACATGGACTATTTCTAGAAACATTATATATTTATAACCATTGTTTGAAATGTATTATATAATTATAATTGTTTAATGTTAACATATTTAATTATATATATATGTATATATAGTATATACTGTATATATATTATATATATATATATATATATATATATAAATAATACAATTATTTTTTATATAATAATTTAAATATATATATATATATATATAAAATATGTATTATAATCATATAATAAATTATATTTCATTAATATATTAATATGCTGCATAAATAAATAAAAACAAAAAATATATAAAATTAATATCAAATATAAAAAATATTTACCAAATATAAAATTATTATATTATTTGATATAATTATTCATATAATAAGTATTATTATAATCATAATAATTAATATTTCATTAATACATTGAGACACTTCATCTATTATTCTACAGGGAATAAAAAAGCATAATTAATCAACATTTGTATAATTAATCATTACATATAATGTTGTCATTTTTAATGTTTTGTCACAAAATTTGTATTGGACTAATGAAATTCCTCCAAAGCAATTCAGTTCATTCCTCTTCCTGTCTTTCCTATTTAAATTCAGATTTCAACATCCTGTGAATTGCGGCCAATTCAATTCAAATTAATATTAGGAAGCCAATTCATTACATTCTGATTTTGTCTTTTCACTTTAGTCCTCCATATGAAAACATCTCAGCATGGACTTGGGGAGACTATCGGTGGATTGTGACAAGTAAGTCACTCATAACAGACGCTAATCAAACGAGCGTAGAAAAGGTACAGGTGATGAGGGAGCTTCAGTAGATGCGGTCAGATGAGATGTTGTCAGGCCATATGTCAGTAAAAATGAATTTTCCTGTCCCGTCAGCTCTTATACTGTGCTCGTAGAACCTGCTCTTCAATTGCAGCCACAAATGTGGCGGCTCGTGCTGTAGCCTGTATCATTTCATATTAAAGCGCAAAAGAAACTATGAGCATGCAATGACGTAGTGATGTCGTCAGTTAAGTCATGAAGTTATCAAAAAGGCGATTACAGCTGCCTTAAAACTGTGCATGCATGCAAGTATTTGTTATATGAGTCAGATTTAAGAACATATCTCTGAAGTCTACGATATCGCTGGAAATGAAGTGTCCCCAACTAAGCAAGCCAGAGGCGACAGCGGCAAAGAACCAAAACTCCATCGGTGACAGAATGGAGAAAAAACCTTGGGAGAAACCAGGCTCAGTCGGGGGGCCAGTTCTCCTCTGACCTAGTAGAGACTTTAAGACCTGAAGAGGGTCAGAAAAGGTCAAGAGTTGCGAGAAAATACGATCCGCGTCTTGTTCAGCAGCGGCAGCCAATATAACCTAATAACCATCTGCTGTGATGTCTGTTCATCAAAGAACAAAAGAAGAAAAAAAAGAGGAAATCAATGACTTTTGTAGCTTTAAGGGTTAATCTATATTTAATTTAGAATTTGGTGTTATGTTTCCTACTTGCTGAAGGGCACAGGTAGCTAAATATGCCATTTATTATAATGGGTTTATGTGAAGATTGTTTTAAGTTCACTTAAATTAGAGGTTGTTATTTTTTAAGTCTAATAAATGTTAAAATTGATAGCTCTCAATTATACTGTAATGTTGAATGGCTATAGTCAGTGGTTAAATATTAGGGAAAACAATTTCATTGAGACATCAGTAGTATTGGTATCAGTGATACTCACCTTCAGTCATAAAAAAGATGCCATTAAACAAATATTAAAAGTACTGTCTTTATGTTGTTTTTACATTAATTTGATTGAATGTGAAATGATTGCAATATAAAAGTATATTTAAAAACTCTAATGTTGGGATTAATCGCGATTCATTCTTTTTTTTTTTTTTAATCGATTGACAGCACTAAAGTCTACATGTTTTTCCTCACCACATCTCTGTTGATCGTTCACTCAGACAAACTGACCCCTTTCGGAGAGGCCCTGACCAATCAGGCGCTGAGGCTGTACAATAGCTCGGCTCTGTGTCCAACCTCTGACCGATGCCCAGAGAGACTCTTCACCACCATGGTCTCTGACATGAGGGCCACCTGCCCCAGGAACGACCTGGCTAAGAGAGCTGCAGGTTCAAATTAATTTTTCATTGCACAGTTCACAATTAAAAGGAATTGAGCTTCATCAGCACTCTGAATATTTGAGCATTTGTGAGCTCCAATAAATATTTAATGGTCAAGCAGGATAATGAACAGTGAGCTAGTCATTATCGCACATTTTTACTATTGACTGTACATCATGCTTAGATTTGTGATCCATAGTCAGTTGTTTAAATCTAAATCATGTATTTCAGGAGCCTTAAAGAGTCCAGTGTACCGTTATCTGGTGACTTACACTCCATCAAAACAGGCAAACGCCTCCAGCTGGCTTCCCTTCCCCAGTCGCTTTGCCTTTCATCTTCTAGACAGCCTGGCCTTCTTCGGGGGTCTTGAAATGGTGCTGGGGACCCTGTCACTGGCTGATATCAGCTTCCAGGAAATTATCACCAAGTATTTTGTACATTTTGCCAAAGAGGGTAAGTTTAATGTGAGATTTCCCATACTAATAATAAAACATTTGAAATCTATATCAAATGCTTGACCCTGTTTCTTGAGGTTTAATGTTTTGAGTACATTTGCTACTGTTCAAAAGTTTGGGGTCAGTGAGATTTTTATGTAGTTGCTGAAAGAAAACTAAAACCCTTTATGCAACAAGCATGCGTTATATTGATCAAATGTGTCGGCGAAACATTTATAATATTACAAAATAATAATATTTCAAAAACATATGAAGCAGCACAACTGTTTTCAACATTGAAAATAATAAGAAATGTTTCTTGAGCAGCAAATCAGCATAACAGAATGATTTCTGAAGGATCATGTGACACTGAAGACTGGAGTAATGATGCTGAAAATACAGCTTTAACATCACATTTTACAATATATTACAATTTTAAAATCTTAAAATGTAATAATATTTAACAGTATTATTGTCTTTACTGTATTTTTTATCAAATAAATGTACCTATGGTGACCATAAGAGACTTTTTCTTTTTTTTTTACTGACCCCAAACGAGTAGTTGTGCATCTATTATACAACATTCTTTTCATCATTGAAAAAAAATTGAACAAGAAGGAAATAGCAGGGTTCTGGAATGAGTTTCTCATTAAAGAACATTTTTGTTATTGATATAATATAAATATTTTAAGAAAACCCTCCCATGAACTCTGAAGTTTTTAATGAAACCCTTCTGTTAAGCCACAATCTGCGGGAAAAAAAAAGCCAATATGCTTATTAGACTTTTAATATAATGATTTGTAGTTAAATGTTTTATATCATACTATTGTTTCTGATTCATTTGTCATTTGTAATGCATCATGGGATGACTAGTTCATTTCTGTTAGATCCTACCAACACATCAGGATGCCACTGCCAAGACCAGGAATGTTGGATCAGATCCCACCAGAAGATTTTGTTTGATATCCATAACTAGTCAGCAGCTTTTTTTCTGATATTTGATCAACCAGTTAACACTGCATTTTGTCTGATATGACAAAATACAGAGTAATGGGAAGAGCAGGAAGTTTTTTCAGATATATATTTTTTATTTTTTTTTTGCTTTGATTCAAATGTTGCTGTTATTCGTCACCAAAGTTAATATGAACTAAAACCATAAAAAATAATTTTCATTACTTGAAATAAAATTAAAATAAATATAAAATAACATTTATTTCAGCTAGTTACCAAGGCAATATTTCAGTTTAAGCTGAACTACCAAAATAATAAACTAAATTAAAAAAATAAAACAATATATAGACATATTAAAAAAAATTATAATAATAATAAAAATGACAAAACAATCAACATAATTACCAAAACATTAACTAAAATTAAAGTGAAAACAAAAAATATATTAAAAAAATCTAATAGCACTATAATAACATTACAGTTCATTACAGACTTGGTTTGGTTCGAAGCTTAAACTTCGATTTTTTTTTTATATATTGGCAAAAGTTGAACCTAAGATGGTTGAAATTGTATGTGATCAGTGGGATTAAATCTTGCCCATAACTTTCCAAAACTCTCCGTAACCTCACAGGTAGGATGCCAGAGGAGTGGCTGGAGTTCCCCTCACGTGTCGCCCTGCTGGACAAGAACATTTCTTTCGTAACAAGCTACTCCCGCGAGAGGTGTGACCTGTGGGAGGAGAACGGCTTCTACTCGTACGCCTGGATCAACTGAGCCACATCACTGGTTGTATCTATCCATCCACTGCATTTTCACCCGAGCTTTATTGCGTGATTATACAGTACTGATATTTTTGACCCATACAATGTTTTTATGGCTATTGCTACAAATATACCCCAGCGACTTAAGACTGGTTTTGTGCTCCTGGGTCACATATTTTATAAGACTTTGCAGAGGTTGGAATGTATTTTGCACAGTTGTTTGCACCTACAGGAACATAGGAAAACCACAGAGATCTCTTTAGTGTCTCAATCAGGGCCGTCCTTAGCTGACGTGGGGCCCGGTGCGAGGTAGGGAGCCCTGGTCTCAATAGTTTCTCCTAGACAGCAATGAGATTAAATCGAGCTCAAACAGAGACTCAGCTCTTTCTAATGAGGAAAGTCTATAAAGTTCCATATCAAAATGTCTTCTTTATTTTGGGACAAACATCTGAGACAAACTAAAAGGGGATAAAGGGATTGTCCACCAAAATGCCTATGTTTTTTTTGTCCATATAATGAAAGTCAGTGCAGTCCAATATTGTTTTGAGCCCCTTTGACTTTAATTGTATGAACAAAAACATCTATCTATTTATCTATCTATCTATCTATCTATCTATCTGTTGTTCTCTCATTCTATCTATCGTTCTGCTGTTCTCTCTATCATTCTTTTATTCTATCATTCTATTATTATTTTGTTCTATCATTCCTTCATCCTATGTCATTCATTCTGTTGTTCTATCCATCATTTTTTTGTTCTGTCATTCTTTTGCTACGTCTCATTTTTTCATTCTATCTATCACTCATCGATCATTCTTCTGTTGTATCATCTTTCCACCTGAGCTGTGAATGAGCAACTTCTGCATTAAATTGAACTTCTACAAGCTGAGAAGGGAATTTAATTTACTCGGTGAGTCTGAATGTGCATTTGAATTAGAAAACTCGAAGGCTGTTTTAAGCCATAAATCCCCATTATTCAGGTTTTTTCTTGTTTGTTACACTAATCGGCCCCATTCATATATTTACCGAATATAGCCAGACTGCTGTTCCTAAACCTGTTATTCTTTGATTGTGTGACTAAGTAAATCCAAAGCTTTGACATGGATGAGAATGAGGGCCTACAAAGGGATAATGCGGCTCTCTGATCGCCCTCTTTTAATTTAACTGCTGTGCAAAGACTGAAGGAGGACTTACACGCTTACATTGATCTTTTGTTTGTATGTAGATGCCATAGATCCTCACTATTGATGCAATAACAGAAGGTGACATTTATGTGTTTTTGTACCTGTGATCAAAGTGTCTTTTAGCACTCCTGAGCAGACTTTAGAATCAAGGCCTTCGGAATCAGGAACATCGTAACGCCTTGAGCGCTATCAAATAAAATCTGAACCGGGAACAGTTGTGTTTTATAACACAGCCCCATTTCTCTGGCATAGCTGAATGAATGGAGAGGTCAGAGGCCGTTCTGCCCCTGTGCAACAGGATGAAAGACATCCGTTGAATAAGAGCTCATGAAAGCCCTGACCCACATACACTCCTTTTTAACCCTGTAAAGCCTGACATATTAAATAGTAATGCAAAAAAAAAATGATTTTTTTGGAATTGGAACAGTTTATTGAATCTTTAGACAAACATTTAAAATAAAAACGTTTGCAAATGTTTCTTTTTTATGAATACATGATAGACATGATACATGAAAATATTTAGCTCATACTTGAGAAAAGAAAAACACCTCAGTTTTATTCAGAGGCTCAAACTGAGCAGAAATATGCAATCTGATGCAGCTACTGATATTTATGTGGTCAAAAAGACGAAATTCTGATAGCTGATGTAAATCAAAGAGATCTTTATAACAGTATAGCAGACTACTGAAAAAAATTCATATAAATATCAGTTGTAACTCTATATCGCTCAAAAATAATGTCTTCGTAAAATTATCTTTAAATGCTTGGTTTTATGATCAACACTAGTTTTTATTTATTGATAGTTTTATTTGATTGAGAGGTGAACAAATAAGGCAGCGGCTATTTACACTAAGTGCAAATAGCTATAGATTTACAATTTTAGGATTTTCTGCTATTTATACTACTTATTGCAAATAGTGGCAATTATCTGCACCTCACTATTGTAGTACATTATAAAACAGTGTGCAGTAATAACTTATTGAGTGTAAATTCTAATTTTAATTCAAATTATTAATTGGATGCCACCTTATTGGGACAATAAAGCCCTTCCCCCTACACCTACCCGATACTTTATTTTCAACTTTTTGATTATTTCCTTCATTTTCTATGAAAATAAATGCTTTTTTGATGTGATTTGAAATTTGAAAAGGGAGGGAAAAAAGTTCGCCAAAAGGTGGATTCGAACTCGAGTCGATAGCGTCAAAATGAGTACGACACACATTTTACCATCTGCGCCCACCAGACGTTGGTGGGCGGAGTTAGTGTAAATAGCCTCTGCCAACAAGGCGGGCTATTTGCACTTAGTGTAAATAGACACTCCGAAAAAATAAAACGCCTGATGGATTATGTTTGATAACATGATTTTTCTAAAAATGGTGCATGGAAGTTGCTTCAGTTCAATAAATGTACATCTTAAAGTATTACTAACAATATAAAAGTTCTTACATTACAGTAAAAATTTCACAGTAAAAAGATGTGAATCACAACCCGAAGGTAGACATTTTTATATACTAAATTATACTAAAAGGCCCTTTACTTGCTAAAAAGGTCGAAACTATTCATCAAACAGCATGTAGTAGATTGTGTACAACAGGCTTTTCATTAAAGTTTTGATAAATTTAGAGGCAATTATGACACAGTAGGCTTTACAGGGTTAACGTCAGCCAGGCCAATCCTCTACTGATTTCATTTTTATTAGGGTTAAAGGGTAAACACTAATATAGTGTGCATTAATTATTCCATTACCACTCTTGTTTATTTTGCACTTTATCTGTAATCCTTGTCATAAAATGATTGTTGGGTTTATTGAATCAAAGTCTTAAACAGCTGTTGTGGGGGATTTCAGTCTTTATTCTCACAAATCTCAATAGATTCTTCTCAACAGGCTACAATAAATAGCTTTTATTTCAGACGGCAGTTGGATTGTTGTTCTTTATTTTCAAATTTAGCACTGGGATACAAACGGACAGGCAGACAAATACCATTCACCAGCTCCCGGTCTGGTATTAACCCAAAAGAAAAGGAAAGAAAAGCTGTAATGCGTGTACTTGAAAACAGAACTGCACATGCACATTACCAGAAAACAGACGACAGTGGGTGAATTTTAAATAAACTATTTTGTCAGCTGTCATTCTATCATCTAAACTGAGGGCGTCTTATTAAATTGTCGTCGATTAAATCACATCACTATAAACCTCCTCAGTCCGCTTGGTTTCTTGAGCATTTTCTCTGTGAAAACGAGTGAATGCTGGAAATCAGATACAGCACCAGTGTCTTCAGCTTATGCTGGCATGCAAAAACAAACATGGTTCAGTTTAAAATCATCGGCCCTGACAACTCAAACTCCCAGGAATCACTCACACATCCGCATCCACAAAAAGCCTCAAGAACTCGTCTTTGACATGCCAGGACATATTCCACAAAATTACTGTTATTTTCATCACTTAAACTTTGTCGTCATAATATTTAATAAAGTAAAATGCATCAAATCTAATAGACTGCATTTAGGAAATGGGCTCAAAATATTCAAAATGTATAAATATACCATATGGGGTTCCCTTTCCTTGTTTACTGAATGCACTGAGGTCTTCGGATACCGTTAAAATGTAAAAAAAGAAAGCCATAAGAACATATTAGCACTCTAAGTTGTTATGCGTTTAATTCCAGACAAAATACTTTTCAAATCCATACTTATTTGAAATCAAAGACCAGTACATGGCATAGAAAACAGGACTGTTAGTTCAAACAGAGAGCACTGCGATTCTGAAAACAAACTTTACACTCTTCCCAGTGCTTCTCATCTTATCTGAAAATAAATCAAGAGTCTTCAAATAGAAATGAAAATACTGTCAGCAAGAGTGTCTACAGTGGTCTGGGGAGAGATTGGGAGCTCCCAGGTCTTTGTCTCTCTCTCTCGCTCCCTGTCTCTCAGATGTGTGTTCATGTAGGAAAGACAGAGCAGAGCCAATCAGCAATGAGGTGCGTCCTGTTTAATACAACTTCCATTTCAGTTTAATGCAGTCCTTTCAGTAAGATCCATAGCGATCCTGAAAACACACGATCAGATGGAGTTAATACAGCTGATGTGGAAGTGTTATATATGTGTGTGTGTGTGTGTGTGTGTGTGTAAGAGGGAAGACTGAAATATGTGCGTTCACCTGAATGGTATTCATAACTCCGTTAGCCAGCACTGCCATCTTCCCTGCAACAGTCTTCACACCTTGCTTGAACTGGGCGATGTCAGGACCGGAGGGAAGCACGCTGTCAAATCCTGATGAGCCTACAGCGATGTACATGAATGAAACCGAATGGGCGCCACAGTCTTGTTATATAATACGGCACAAAAATATAAGACTTTTGCCCATTTTATAATCTAATTAGCATGAAGTAAACAATATTGCTAAAGACAGAAGTGTTTACCAGTGGAACGGACACTGTCATCACCAAACAGATCAGCAGAGCTGATGGAGGTGCTTCCAGTCATGCTTTCTAGACGAGTCTTTGCTTCATACTAGGGAGAAAAAATAATATATATCCATAAAACAATACTGTAAATGGATATTATTTAAAAATAATATTATATATA